TGGTGCTGGTGCTGCTGCTGCTGCTGGTGCTGCTGATGGTGCTGGTGCTGCTGCTGCTGCTGCTGCTCGGCTAAGCGGCGTGTGGGTGTGGTGGGGTTGAAGGGGGTGGCGCAGGCGTTTTGGTGCACCGACGCATTGATCCCTGGAATTCGTAGGGACGGTGACTAGGGCCAAGCATGTGTCCACTTTCGATGTGAGAAAGAGAGGAGAAGAGGGGGCTACTCGGCGAACGGAATGAGAAGAACACGACACAGGTGGAGGGCGAGAGGGGCGAGGACGATGGTAGGGAGAAAAAGGGTGGTTTTGAAGGGATAGAGGAAAACGGGGTGGGAAAAGAATGGAACAATGAGGTTGGAGGAGAAGAGGAGCGCGACCGTTTTACTCATAGCCGATGTCCACACCTGCAGACCGTTGGTCGTGATGCGTTTGAGGATGATGGAATGTCGGCTACGATTGAAAATCTTTCGGGAGCTTAATCCGGTCCGGGAAACGAACGACGAACGGGGGGAATGGGGGAGGTGGTGAAGAGGTGGAGAGGGAGAGAGAGAGAGAGGAGTATACGAGGGAAACGGGCAGAAGTTTCGGCTCGGTGTTTGACGTTCTAACGAGGATTCGCGAGATGATGGATAATGATGATGGATGAAACGAGATGCTGGCAGATCGAAGGAAAAATCCCCCCGGATCGTTTTAAAGGATCTCGCGATTTTCTTTCTTTTTTTGCTCGAGGAAGTTCTTTTTTCCAAAATTCTCATCGAGCTTCGGGTATTTATTTTTCATCGATCGGATCGGATTATTCCGGGGGAAATGAAAGAACAGAGGGAAAAAGTTCCCGGTAAGATTCGACGTCGTTCGAACTTGTTCCCAACAAACTAGCGTAACGTTTTAATCGGTGCTCGTGAATGCTCCACAGCCTGGGCTTTCCTTTCAAGTTAATTGCAAGTGAAACGAATTCGCCTGACCGGCGCGGGTTCCTTACTTAAAGAGGGGGAGAGATGGAACCGATGAATGGCTGAGCTATAAAATTAAACAGAAGTCAGGAAGCTGGGGGAGGCTCTTTGACGAGGAATCCATCGATTTTATATAATGTCCGGCTTCGAAGTCTCTCCCTCGCTGTATCTTTTTCATTTCACTCCTCCCTCTCTCTCTCTCTCTCTCTCTCTGATATCCGGAAAAATTGTTCGTTAATTAAGAGATGGCTGATTCGACACAGGGGTAAATCCACCGGTAACAAACCTTAAAACCCCGTCGTTGTTGCTTTTCCATTCGGAAACGAAGCAACCTCTCCTAGAGGCTGCTACATCGGAATCGTGCGGTTTCGCCAATCCGGTAAAAAGGGCCTCCTTCTTCGACGCCTTGGACGGTTTCTCATCGATTTTACGATTCGTCCGATCGTCAACGCGCATCCAGCCTCGTATCATGCCACGAGAAGCGCCGACACGGGCAATGGTTTCTATAAAATATTCAAGCCCAGGCAGCGTACAGATATGTACCAATACTGAATAAATAATAAGGGACGGAGGGAGAGATCCTCGATCGGTTCATAACTCCGTTCCGTTTCAGAGGCTCTGATCCATTCGTCGACCTCTCCCTAACGAGAGTTTCGTACTCGAGAAGCGTAAGTTCTCCGATAGCTGGCTTACGTGTACATACATATACATATATGTATGTAGGTATGAAAATTTCGAAATGAAAAGGTAGAGGCAGAAGAAGGTTAGATTGAATAAGGAAAATAGAAGTGTTGAATGCTAGGTAAATGATCCACGGATGCGCCGATAGAGAACCGGTAGAACTATACAGAGCTGCTTTT